GGTGCCTGCCGCTGGGGGGGACAGCGATCACGCTTTCTCGGCCTGACGCCCAACGGACGAGAGGACTCATCCAAGAGGTTCAGATCTCCGCCCAAAAAGACATGTGGTGCGGCGTGATCTTCGTCCTGCTGGCGTACACCGGGGCAGCGGCGGCGGCAGCAGTAACCAAAGCGGCGACGGGCGGCGAGGGGGTTAACGTCGCTCTCCACGCCCAGAGCAACTACGCGGTGCACGGCTGGGTTGCAGGTCAGTCAAGAACGGCATCCAGTTTTTGTTGGTCGAAGTGTGTGTCGGTGGCTTGACCCCTCCGTACTGTAGAGCGCCGTGCTCTGGCGCGGACGCGGCGTCGACGACGGGGGGGATCGGCGATTCCCTCGATCCCACAGTCTATGTGCAAGCAGTTGACAAGGATATTATTCTGATGATGTGTTCCGTTGGCTCCTCTGCTCTCGCCGTCTTGATCGTACAGTCTTAGTCTTTGTCACTGCCGACAGCGAAGTGCTCCCGAACTGACATCTGTCTCTATATCTGCCTGTCTGTGCTCCTTGTAAATACTCCGTGCAACCAATTACCGCATGTTTATGTACATAGAGGGGTTCGATCGACATGTGAGGAGAACTGGATGCACAGCTTGGAAAAACAGCAGCAGTATACATGATGCAACAACAAGCAACAACGCAGTCTACGATAGATAGGGCTACAGTAAACCTGCGCACATGCGTTCATGTTCAAGACTGCGCGATTGAGCCCCCTGCCTGGTATTGGCCCGTGACCTCTGCTACTTCTTACTATGCATACTGCAAATTTCGGTTACTGCATATCTAAGGGTCAGAAATTACGACCAGCGGGCTACGACGGGCGTTTGCAGCCCTTCCTTGCGTGCGGAGCTGCGAGGTGAGTTCGTGTCAACTGGCTTTCGAATGACGCTTGGTTGGAGGAGTATTCTTCCGCACGAGAAGAGACAGGACGTTAGCAGTGTGCCCGCAACAGCCCCTTCGGTGTTATTGCTGAAAGGGGTCGGTCGTGTTGAATGTAAAGATGGTGCGTCATAGGTGTGTAGCGCCCCGACAAACAACATCAGCAGCAGGTGGTCAGAAAAGCTCACCAATCAAGGTCCCTCGAAATTTGGTAGCAGTAGATGTAGTTTAAACTACAAGAACATCACGCTCCCCCCCCGGGCGTAGACTACTGTATCAAAGAATGCAGCTAAGACTAGACTAACATCTACCGCTGAGGCGTGTTTCGAAGCACAACCAACCCTCGCGTGCCTACGTCGGATCGGAGGCCCGCCTCGTTCTCATCTACAGGACTGTAGTCTAGGTGGCCCGACATAGCGGCACGTAGGGGCAAGCCAAGAACATGCCGCTATCCAGGGCAGTAACGCTATCTATTCCTAATAGGGATTATACTGAGAAACGCAGTTGGGACAAGCGGTTTCGATGCCACAATATCGGCAATTCCGTTGTTCAGGTTGCCGCTATATCGGGCCACCTATTGCTGTATACCAATGTTTCCTCCGACGACGCGGGCCCACAGACGTTCTCTTGTATGCACCTTGGTCAAACAGATATTCGCCCCGTTTTCTTACGATGGGGTTTCCAGTCGAAAGTGGGACTTGGTGATCATCGAGGGGTACACGGGCTCCGTGCCAGCTTTCATTCACGAGGTGAGGTAGCAGCACAACTGATGTGTTTCGTATAGGATGAACCCTGACTGAGCGATGCCGCCTGCCCCACAAATTGGCTTGGTTGTCGTCGGGGAAACCACAGCTGAAGCTCAGAAACGGTCGTTGAGCGCAGGTGGGTTATCACCGCACAATGGATGTTGCCGGCGGAACGTGTCGCAAAAATATCTGCACTAAAATGAGCGCGACCTTCTTGGTGAAGGCTCTTCCTGTGTGTTTCGTTCAAAGTTGTAGCACGCAGTCTAGAGTAGTAAAATGAGTTGGGCTAGAACCACTGTCCTTCATATGTTGCTTCTTCTGTGGCCTACCGTATGTGACACAAGATAACCCCCACGCTGGACCGATTTTCAGAGCTCGATCTCTCAACAGCAGAGAGAGTCCCAGCGCCGAAAGCGGCAGCGTTGAAGCCGTCTCGTCGAGAGCTTTCCGAAAATGTATCGTTTCGTTGATGCATGGTCTTTGTCGTGGTGCATTCGAGCTTGGGAAATCGACCCCGGGTGTGTGTGTGTTATCTTGTGTCGTATAAGGTAGACGTTTCGTGTGCTATTCATTTACTGTGTGTCAACACGCCATTCAATAGAACCGTTCAACCATGCACTCCACGCTGGGTGTGCGCACGTAGCCTCCCCCATAACCCAGAAACCTTCAGCAGACTTGTGATGTTGTCTTGTGCTGAGCTTGTACCAGCAGCCCTAGCGTACTACACGCACAGCAGGCCAGCTCTGCGGGTCTTACGTGAGATTTGTTCAAGCAAAGGAGGACGAGCTCAAACGCTCGAGTGAAACGAAGAATGACAACGAAAGTAGCGCTAACCCCCCCCCCCCCCCCCGGTGTTTGCAATCGGGGTTGGGTTTTCGTCGCTTGGCAACGACGTTGTAAAATAAGCCGACTCATTTCGTGAACTCGGCAACCAGGTTGCCGTTCTTTTTTTTTTCTCTGTTTTTTTTTTTTGCGGTGATCGTAATGGTGGTCGAGTAGATCATGTTGTGCGGGGTCGAGAACCCTCACTCCGCGCAAGGGGGATGATCGCACCACGTTGTGTTAAAATGGTCAAGCATCCTCGAGGCAGTTACACAGTGCTTATAACTGTCTCAGGAAGTAAAAGCACCAGAAAATAAATTAAGTCATACGCAGCTGTCATCCGTACGCAAGGAAAAAACACAAGATGCCGAACACCCTTAGCAGGATGTAGCTCACCCTTCATGCGACTCGCCGAATACCTCACGGCGCTTCGCGCTTGGTGATGTGAGAGCCTGGTCCGGTGAGAACCCGGCGTGCTCCGTCCCGCCTTTGTAGGGGATGCGCGGTCAATGGTCTAACGACTACGGCATGCACGATTATGAGTACCCCCCCCCCCTCCTCCCCTCCAACCCCTTGACGTCCTTATACCGATCGCGGTCCGAACGGACCTGCGTGTCGATGTCGTACGTAGGTTCGGGCTGGCAACGATGACGTCGTGGTGCTTTTCTACTGCCTGGACACTTACCCGTCCCTATCCGTGGTCGGAAACTTGGACGTCGATGCCTTCCTCACTAACAGCTTAGCACTCTTGCCGTTCCTGCGACAGGTGAGAGCCACCCAGAACATTTTTCTCCACTCGCTTTGTTCTTGGCACAAGTTGGTATTTAGGACATCAAGGCTCCTCGGTGATGCAGGACTGTGATATTCGTGTCTGCCGCTACAAAAACAAATCGGCATTGGCTATGTCCGGAGAGGCACATGAGGTGCTGATGCTCGAAGAGAAAGGTGACCTCGGTTCCTGATCGCTATCAGGCCCAAACCCCACAGCCCCGGTCGCAACCATAGCAGGGTCTTGGACGATATGCCGATTCATTGGCGTTCCGGGGCGTCCTCGTTGACGCGTCTCGCCCATCCAGGAGCCCCCGATTAACTTGCTGTCATGCAGAAACAGTCTAGGTTCATATATCAAATGGCAAGAGGAAAGCTCAGCACGTCGATACGGAAACAATGCAGATGCAGATCCTGTCCACCGGCAGAAAAACAGCCCAGGACAATCATCTGCATGCAGTGGTTTCCATAAGAAAAAGTAAATCGTCATGGCAGTGTTACCGTATGCATGCACACCTTCGTTTGTAGCCCTTGCACAACATTCCGCAGTGATGACTGATGAGAAGCACGATGACCACTATTGTAAGCCACCAGTCAGCGCTGATTAGCGGTCTAGTGGTCATCGTGCTTCTCAACAAAAGCTAATGTCCGGGGTTGGATGGTATAAATTTTGTTGAGAAGCACGATGGCCACAATAATAGACTACTGTTAGCAAGCTCTGACTAGCAGTTCAGTCTAGTGGCCATCGTGCTTCCAAATAAAAACTATTGTCCGGAGAATAACATACATCCCTCTCCTTTTTTCTCAACAATACCTTCACCTCTTTCTCAAAAACTCTATCCTCAGATCGCTCCGGCGTCGTCACTGGTGCACCTCGCGGCAGACCCGTCGGTGATGCAGGCGGCGCCGTTTCGCCCGGAGTACGCCCACAACGTTGTGTACCTCGGCCAATTCAAGGGCACCAAGCATCGGCTCGTCGAGGTCGGTGGTTTTTATTCCCGGTTGCGGCAAACTCGCAGTTTTCGTCGGAGGTGTTCGTGCGTGGAGGTACATTGGTCGGATTGTGCCGATACTGGCGGTTTTCGTATATCGCAGACGGGAATGACCTTTGAGGGACATACATACATGCCAGGAGAGACTTTGGGATACGAGTTGGCGGCCTCCCCCTTTCGATTGGTTTTGGCCTGACACTCTCCTCCTTTCTCGTACTCTTCTTCCTCTCTGATGTCACCCCAACGATCTAATACATGCGGTTATGAACACTCTTAGGACTCTGGAGCGCACACAACATGGGCATGTATAAGCAGGAGGAAGCACACGTCAACGCTGTCTGTGGCCCAAAGGGGGAATATATAGAGACTTGCGGGGTGTTGATGGCTGAGAACGAAGGTGTCTGAATCACGGGTGTTTGAGACTAGCTATATCGGTGGACAATAGTCGTAGGTTCTGCGATTCTATCGTTTTGGGTAGGGGGTGCTCAGCGTCAGAGGTTGCAGAGCATAGGTTGACTCAAGACCTTGCTATTAACGAGTGAACAGGGCAAGCCTGCCCATGCATGCCGAAGGGAGATAGCCCTTCTACGAAACACATTCATTCTCGGTAGATCCGTACCTGTAGTGCTGAGTACACCTAACAATCCATACGGGTGTCTGAACTTGCGTTCATCGCTTACCCTCGGCGAAGCTCGGAGAGCATCGTCGACGAAATCCTGTCTGATCTCGTAGTGAAACCACACTACTCGTCGACACAGGCTAGCTAGGTGTCTTCTGAACCACCCAAGAATCGCATCCATTAACCTCAGACCCTGAAAGAGGTTGCGCCGTATGGACTAGCCATCTACGGCAACGGATGGAGCGGTGTCGAGGGCGCGGAGGAACTGTTGCCGTTCTGGCGGGGAATTCTACCGCTGGGCGATGTCGCTGCTCTTTACACATCAGCCAAGGTGAGGCCTGCAGAGGCTGCAACTCCGTTAGGACATAAATGCGTGGTTCCATTTATCAGAGATATTTAGTCGTGCTGACATGCACAGTGTTCATGCAGAGGTATAACCTTTAGACCAGCCCCAAGAGCAGCAGTGGACTCCATCTAACTCCCGAATCATCAGATCACACATATACCACCGTCCCCCCCAGAGGCTCCCGGCATAGGAAGTAGGCTGAAAAGGGGCGGGGAGTGATATCGATAGGATTGATAGGAGAGGGAAATCATTTTTTGCGCCACCACTGGTGAAGTCGGAAGGAACGATTGGCCATCGGTGATCAGTCCTGCGGGAAAAATGCTCCGGCCTCTCGAGGACGCGCGCTCAATGGTCCAACAGCTAAGCCTTGCAAAGCATGACCCTCCCCTCCAAAAAAGCTTCGCTCGTCGTCGGCGCGGCGCACACATGCGCAGGTTGTCATAGCCACGACGGAGACGCTCCAGCGAAGCTTGGGCATGGTCAACAACCGCGTGTTCGAGGCTCTCTCCTGTGGGACCGCCGTCGTGGTGCGTATGCTGTTGTTGTTGTTGTTGTTTTCGTTGTCTTCACAATAATAAACCGTCCCGTTCTCGCTGCCCAGTACCTTCTTCTATCCGTACTTGTCTAACCCTTGACGAGGTCGATTCCTGTGGTCACGGGCTAACTTACCCAAGAAAAGTCATGCGTACGAAATAAAGAAGCGAGCCAGGGGAGCAGTCCAGACAGGGGCGAAGTGGACCCATTTCTCGGATTTATTGTTTTTGAGCACAATCTGGGGACATCGTATGTCCCGCTACGTAAGACAGCAGCAATGCTGTCGTTGAACACACGCGGACAAATTCAACTTTGTTGACCGCGGTATCCAGCAGGTGGTTTTTCATACGTCGAACGCGTGGCGGTATCAGTCAATACGGATTTTTTTTTTTTGCTTTCTCGCCTCCCCAAAGGTGTGTGGTAGTCTGCATGGAGCGCCCACACAGGCTGCACACGTCCACCGGTAGTAAGACGTTCCTTCGCTCTCGCTCGCCGTTTTTACCCATCTTCTTTGCCTCTGGATTTCGTTTTGATGTCCATGGTGTCTCTCTCTCTCTCTCTCTCTCTCTCTCTCTCTCTCTCTCTCTCAATCACACCTTCGCCGCCGGTGTTTTTCTCGCGAAAGAGCGACGCCTTCCCGGCGGCGGAGGAAATGTTCGGCGACCACGTGCATTTCTACCGCCAGCCTGGTGACGCGGCGCGAGCGGTGAAGGTGTGACTCTTGCCCGAACTCCGGACCCCAGCTTTAGTTAGAACGCACGATGCCCGCTGGACTTCTACTGACACTACCAGTAGTCCGGTGGTCATCGTGCTCTAAGCAACTCTTTTCAACACCCGGGTTGATTGATTCGTAAGGGAGGGCACGCAGGGTGGGAAAGGTTCTTGGGAAGGGCCAGATCGTGATTGGCCGCCCTTGTGTCCGGCGCCTGGCCGAGGGCATCAGTGTCTCGGGTGGCACAGACAGTAATTTCAGGATGTGTTGGTGCCCAAAGAATCGTTCCCCACAATGATATGTGTCGGTGCCCGGCCAACAAGAGCCATGCTCGTTGGGGCCTTACGCCCCGAAAGAGTGTACCCAACGCAGACGGGAAATCGAAGCAGCCCCCCCCCCCGTTCTCGCATCCCCCTGACAACGACCCCATCCCCCCGCCTCGACTTGCCTGCCGCAACAGCACCTGCTCGGGAACGACACCGCGCGAACCGATCTGGGCAGGAGGGGCCGGGAGCTCGTCCTGTCCAAGCACACCTTCGCGTCGCGCGTGGTGACGATTCTCTCGAGCGTGGACGAAGTGGTAGCGTTGAAAAACCAGGAGGAGGCGTCAGCGGCGGGAGAGGCTTCGTCCGCGGCAGCCCGGCGCCTGGCCCCGCCACCGGGCGAGGCGACGGCAGCGGCCACGGCGGGGGGTGATGATACTCCCGCGAGGGGTGCCGCCGGCGCTGACGCTATCGCCGCCGCCGTGGGTGCCACCGCGGTGCCGAAGGGAGGTGGCGGCGTCGAGAGCTGTTGCCAATCGGGCAGAGCTTGTCGCAACGCCGTCGAGTTCACGGCATGCCCTACCCCCACTACGGCACCTGGAGAGGGTGGAGAAATCTTGGCGACATCCGTGACGTCGTGCCCTCCAGAGGGAACGCCCCCGGGTGAAGAGGGTGCTGCCGTGGAGGAGGTACGACCACGATCACGGCGCCATCACGATCCCTTGCCACCGTCGCCACCGCTGAGGGCGGCGGCTCCAGTCCGGGCGCACCAACGCCCGGGCCAGGCTCAACCCCTCGCACACGGTGCCGGCGAACACGCCACCGGCAGCGGGGACATCTCCAGTGATGATGCGACACAGGCAACATCCTGCGACGGCTCCGGGGATAATTCGACAAGTAGAAGGTCCTGCAACGGCTCTAGGGATGACACGACAAGCGGCGCATGCCGGCACGGTTCCAGCGATAGCTCGACAACAGGAACACCGTGCAACGGCGGTTCCGGGGATGATACGAAAAGGGCAACATCCCGTAACGGCTCAGGTAACCCCGACTGTCCTATGCCCCAGCTGCTGGGGCGAAAGAAGACGCCGCTGGTGGTGCGGCCTAACGCTCCGCTGGTCCTTGTCGTGTACCGATCGGAAACCCCTCCGCCTGGGCAATTGCGGCGGGACCTCCAGTCCGCGGCTGGAGCCGTGGCCGGCGGCGCCAGAATAGCGTTCATGGAGACAACAGCCGAGACTCTCGGCGGCCGCGATTCGGACGTCGAGTGTTCCGGATGGGGGCGACGGATCGGGGCGGAAGAATTCTCTCGGCTGAAGGCCCTGCAGACCCGCGTCTCCCGGCTGCTGGCCGATGCAGGCCCAGGTGAACCACGAAAAAATCGGCCCGGCCCGGTAGAGATGGACACGTAGGGACTACGAGTTACCTTCCCTATCCTTACGTCCTCGTCTGGTTATCTTTTCTATTTTTTCTTGTCTCGGGTGTGTGGAGAATGCGTGGGCGGGTTACCAAGAGAAACCGACACTTGAAGCTAGCACACCGACGAAAGCTCTGACGAGGTAGCCTTAAGATAACCCTTGCTTGGGCGGGTCGCCAAGAGAAACCGACACTTAAAACTAGCACACTAACGAAGAGCTAGAGCTCTGACGAGTTAGCCACAAGAATACCCTTTCTCGGGCGAGTTTCCAAGACGAACGAACATGAAGCTAACTCACCGAAGAAGAACCAAATAGGGCTCTAACGAGGTAGCCCTAAGAAAAGATAGCGTGGGCGATATTTCAAGAGAAATGAGCATGAAGCCAGCACATCGACGAAGAGGTAGCCATAAGATGAGCCTTGCTTGCCACAACCCTTGTTTGCCGGAGTCCGGGGCACCAGTACCCTACTCCGAGGAGACGAACGACCCCTCTGTCCACCCATTGTATGCGCTGTCTAAGGCAGAACACGACCGACGGCCAACGTCTGCTACCACAGAGTGCTTCGATCCACCTGTCTTAGCCAACGACCAGACTATGCGGTAGCCGTACTTCATTGAGGGATGACTGATGTTGAACATGACAAGACGATAATCCCTATCACCAATGAGCCCGGAAAATAAAGAGCATGAGTGGAGAAATTTCTACATTTTTCAAAGTCAAACGCCGCGCCGCGCCGCGCCCCGCGCGCTCCCGAACTCTTACCTCCACACGACATATTTCACGGCGCAGCGGCCGCCCACGGAGAGCACGGAGATACGCCGAACGTGGACTTTCTTGGCGTGGAGGCTGCCCGCGAGGCGCACGGCTTCATGGAGTGGTGCTGCTCCGTAAGCATGCTCATCGTGTATTCGAATGTGAGGATGCGGGTGCCAAATAAAGTTTCTGTTTTGTGGTTCGTGTATGCAACTGTTGTGGGGATGGCGGCTGCAGTAAAATGTTTCGAAATATATAGTTTTGGACCCTGTCAGGACCGCAAGGCAGGAGCCTCTCTCCATGTCCCAGTTTTCGTGGGTGGTCCCGTGCCTCTCGTCTGGCGCGTGTAGGTGTAGGAAAGCAGGGCTCCCCTCGTCAGCATGTACTTGGACACTCCTCCTCGTAGATCTCTCTTCGACCGGGAGGAGCTGTTATTGGTGCCTTTGTCACTTACTGTGGGGCGGCCCGGCTTACCGATCCGTAAAGTAGTGTCATGACGAAATGTATCCGCCATTCAGGTCAGGTCGCTAAACCGAAGTACCAATTACTTTAGTATATACGAAGCAGTTAGTGTGGCGGTGCGACATAGTTTATGTTGTGGTCGCTAAACAGGGCATGTCGCGAAGCAGGGGGTCGCAAAACTGCCCCCCCTACTGTACTGCGCTCTGGCATATTTTCCTTGTTGTACGCCAAGGCCACGCCGTAGGTTTCGTTACGCGCCGCGTTTCGGCTATGTTTCGACTCATCTTTCGGTGCTAAACAATCGGAAATGCACACCGGCAGAAATCCAGCAGGTATTGAAAGCCAATCTCTTGAAACAAATTTCCGCCCGAAACAGGTGGGAGACCCTTTGGAGAGGTGGTTTCTCCACCGGCTCGTCGGCGAACACGCTTCGCGCGTCGTGCGCACGGCGTTTCTCGCTGTCGCCGCCGGTGGCTCTGAGGGTGCGGAAGAACAACATAGTGTTGCGAGACAAGAGCACGAGATCGCGAGACAACGGCACGGGGTGGCGGGACAACACGGTAAAGCTCCGACGTCTTTGGAGGCTCAACGGCTGGACCGCTACGAGTGGGTTGAGCACCTTGGCGGCTGCGGCGAGGTGAGATGAGATGAGACGCCACGATAGTAGCCGAAACGCGTCGTCTTCAAACGGCGTTTTTATTGGCAAGAAAGAGAGTGTGATCTCGAAGTTTACTCAAGGGTCGAGGATTCTCAAGGTTGAACGAGCGCGAAGTTAAGGGTTTGGTGTGTTTCTTGGGAATAATTGCGCCGTGCTTCGCCGAGGGTTTTATGTGGCACGAACACGCGTGGTTGCTAATACCTCTCAATCAGTACCAGGACTGAGAGCAAAACGCCACCATGCCCCAACGTCCGTTAGAGGCAGAATAAGCCAGAAACCATTCCGAGGACGCGCCACACACACCGGGTGGCGCGGTTCGGTCGAGCGCTTGAGGCACCGCCGTTAGTTGCTGTCGAAACCTTCGGAAGCCTTGCGTGGAAATCAGACTCGGCCCTTCCAACGAGATAGAGCCCCGTCATGCCAAGATACACGAAAGAGGTTGTTCCACGGTCAGGTAGAATACCTGTTCAAGGCGCTTCATGTACCGGTAGCCATGCGAGCACGAACTGTTGCCTCGCCCCAAGCATTTCACGCAACGAGTCATTATGCGTACGTTGCCTTGCCTGTCGCCCGACAGGGATCGACATGACCGTGCCCGCCGAAATGCCCCTCCCCCCCAAAAAAAACTCGCAACGCCAGGGCCGCTCGTGCCCCGGGTCGGTCCCTTCAGAGGGAGGCTGCTTCGCGGAAGAAACGAGAGGCAAGACTTGCCCTTCTGTCTCCAGGCTCAAGAACAAGATCGAACAAACCTTGTTCAGGGTGAGGAAGCCCTTCCACGATGCCGTTGGTTAGGCGTTGGCTGCGGCGCCAAGGTTGACTGGGGACTTTTGATTTCGGCATAGCCATTATCGCGTTTTTGTTGCCACGTTGATGGGATCTCAAAGCTACTTGGTTGCTACACCCCGGTGTCGCCCGTTGAACCGACCAAGCGATGCTTCAACCTAACAACCAGGTGGACCAGAACGGATGCCACAAAGTACTGAAAATACCGATACTGTACAGAGTAGCAACATAACGTCGATGTTGCAAGTTCGTATTGTCAAGCCATGTCCACCACCTCGCCCGCGTCCGGTCCCTGCTGGGTGCGCCAGGTCTCCAGACACGCGACGATTTCCATGTTGGAACCGAGAGAGGGCACAGTTTTCGCCGCCGAACGGAGCGAAAGGGAAGGAGCAGGCGATTGGGCCCAATTAAGACTGCGTGTCAAGGTGTGGAAGACACGCTGTTGTTTTTTGTCTTCACTTCAGATCAGCGCTCACAGCACTTGTGGCCAGCAGCTCGGAAACGTTTCAACAACCAATCGCACCTTGACATGCACTTTATTCTCGGCCCAATCGCCTCTAGACTATGTCAGCTGCTCGGCAACATTTCGACAACCTATCGTGTCTTTCTCGCAAGAAAAAGACGAAGGCAAAGTACCACAGGACGGGTGGGTAGAGGGCTTGAGTGAGAGGAACCTTTCCGTGTGACCACGGGTTGGAGTAAACGGCAAGTCTCTGCCGATCCTCATCCCAGACGTGGGTCCTGTAATGGACGACTACATCACGATGCTCCACACGTACGCTTCTAATTTGTAGGCACCTCCAAGCTTTGAATATTTGCACAGTTGAAATCGTAGACCTTTTTATAACATGCGGCCGTCGAGAAGCATACAGCTCCAACGATTACCCCACCGACTAGCGGACACGTTCCGCGGGAATCAACACGAGCGAGGAGGGAGGGTCTCGATGAGCAAATTCTTCGCCGCCGGGCGGCCTCGACATGGCTCGTTGCGCTGGGTTAAACAAGAAGAGAAAGGGACAGGTGTTCATCTCTAGGCCGGCAATCACCAGAGACAAGGGAAGGACAACAGGGGCGGAAGGAGTCACGATCGCCGCTAAACAACACAAACCTTCATCAAAGGTGGTCGTCGTATTGCCCAAACATAGTCTTCTTCTCCTTATGTACTGCGGTGTTTGCCGTCTGCCCTGGGCGGAACCCCACCTTGCTTCCTGTGCGACAGGTGGTGCACCCCTATTTCCGGACGCCTGACGACGGAATGTGGTGCGTTCTTCTGGAAGACGTGGAGGTGAGATGATGGGGGTGCCGAGATTGAGTGTTACACCGCCTGGCTTGCTTGCAACACGCCTGGTTGGCTCCGTACCCCGCGTGGAGACGGCGTCCCATACTGTGCCGTGTTGTTGGTGTTGCCTCGGTGTGGATAGGAAGCCACCAGCCTCCTGGTAATCTCTCTTCTCTCGCCATGCGCTTCGGCGGTAGATCCGTCTGTCCTGACCCTACACAACCCACAATCTTTGTACCGTTGGAATCTACGCAAACATTGATAAAACCTAGCAGTTCAGCTCTTTAAGACACAATTCAGTGCGGCAACTTGTATGTGGGGCTTTCCTACGGCCGTGTCCGTGGAACATTGTACTTTTCGCTACGACCTGCCCCCCTTCTAATCCTACTATCCTTCTCGCTACAAACCTTGTAACGGCAGGTGGGGTGCCGAGGCGACTACGACTCCAGGGAAAGGGGGGGGTACTCGCATGCAGTAACCGTAGAAATCGACCCTGTCGTGTTGCCACGACGATGCAGGTTGCAAGTAGTTACCAAGGGAGGAGGGGTTGAAACACCGAGGGTGCTGAACAAAAGCCCACCCATTTCCGTAACCATCTGGTAGATACAGATTCCATTTTGTTACGTTTCGAGCCACAGTCCAGAGTACTTGCCTCAAGTGTTGAAAGAAATAATGTTCAATTCTTAGACTATTCTATATAGGTCTAGGGATTATTCGTGTACGTAGGCTGTTTACACGTGCCTTGTGGATTGTTGGGTCTGTTGCCCATGATGCCTGTTCTTCCCGAGTACGCATGGTTTGATTACAGCTGTTGGGGTTGTTATACATATCTTTCACTGTAGACAGTGGCGCCATCATGTATTCCTTGAAAAGTGTCCTTGGGTTGACTTGGCGCAAAGCGTCTGTCTGCCTCTATTGAGAAGTCCCAACGGGGTGAAGGTGATAAACACAAGCTTCCGTAATCATATAGATGCAGATATCTTGGTAGGGCCAACGGTTTCGTTAGCCTCGGGTTCCTTTCGACCCTTTAACTTAAAGCAGTACACCAGAAATTATTTTACTGCTGTAGGTGTCGGTAGTTCGCATCCCAACCACAGACAAAGTGTGGTGCCGTTTACCAGGTACGCTATTAACTTACAGTCTAAGTACATGGCATACATGTAGTCTATGCATATTATCCGCACATCGCACTTCAAGCCTCAAATTGACTACCGTACTGTTGTAGAGATGAGCCCTGATCGAAAGAACGGGCTGGGAAACCCTCCCGCGGGATGACAAAGAAAGTTAGTTGCAGCATGCTAGCTTTCCGTGTATCCCCGAATCAGAGCCCTCAAGGCCGTAGGATCCACCCCCACCACACGCCAAAGACCAATAGTTGGAATTTTCCCAAAACAAGTACGACGGGGAGTGTGAGTGACGTCCCATGCCGCGAACAGTCAGTCATCACAATCAGAAGCGAGTTTGCGGTTGCCTCCTAGCGCCGCACATCCATACCCCCCAGATCAGCTTACAGCATGACCAAGAGGTCCAGGGAGGACAGGATTACAGCAGCATTCGTAGAGGATACGCCGCGCGGAATATTTAGATCTGGAGACTTTTGACCTTGGATCTCGATCTTGGATCTCGATCATCATCTGCGCCCTGTTCGAGAGAACGAAAGGGCTCAATAAAGCATCGGTGAAAATTCTCAACCTCACCCTACTCTCTCCATCACATCCATCCGTCACAATCTGACCGCCCGCCCCCCCAATGGGGCGGGCGGCCAGCCAATCCCTTCCCCCTCAAAACAGCAGTTGTTCGATAGTCGGATGGGGTATTTTGCCGCCGTTTCTTCTCTAGAGAACGTTCTTCGCTTTTTCGTCTTGGAAAGGGTGGGCGCACGGAAATCTATTCGAGATTTGTTTGGCAAGGTGCTTCGCGAAAAAACTGAGACTGTACGCGCATTCCGACCGTTTTCGGGCGGGTCGGCAGCCGCGCCAGAGCCAGCAGCGTCGTGCCTTCTAGTGTGGAGGGCAGCAGGCAGCCGCGGCCGGCCCTGCTGCTGCTGCTGCTGCTGTGCGAGGGGCGCGTGTTCTTCTCTCCCCGACGGAGGAATCTCGTTCTTTGTTGTTCCCTTCCGTGTGGGCCGATGGGTACCTGCCTTTCCTCTCCACCGGAAGAGCCTGCCGCCATCAAGCGGTCGAGGAGGAGCAGCAGAGGGAGCAGTGGTGCCACCCGGGTAAGAGGATGCACGCACGCATGTGATGTCGTATGGTGTTTGCCTGGGGGGCGAAGGCCGGTCTTTGCATCTATAACACATGTGGAGCAGCTTTGCCTATACTGCTGGAGCGCATAGATAGGCGACACGTTCGCACCGGTGTGCGCTATGTTCTTGCCCAGAAGGCGGCGATTTGGAATTTATATCTGATCTCATCAATACAAGATGGGATACTCACACACTACCTACCTACTAAACCCGACCTCTCTGGTTGTGTGCAGCACGGCATGCCGACGGACGCGGCCCCAATGATGGACACCCAACAATACCATCTCCCTATCTATGTAGCTTGTACGCACGTATGGCGCAGTAGCCCCCGTTCTTGCCGATCAGACAGGGCGGAGGTTGGAGGTTGGACACACCTATGCATATGTTGCAAATGCATATGCTACATACGCGGGCTGTCTTTGGTCAACGAACATAAACGATTCGCACTGCATGGGATCCATAGTGCAAGCACACAGACAGGTGTTCCCGCTCATACAATACATGTATGATGTATGATAGCACGTTTTCGAGGAGGCGCGACGGGCAACAAGGTCGACAAAGCACCAGACCCTTACATGCAGCAGCAGTTGCAAATCACAGAGAAGGAAAACAGCGACGTGCATGTGTCGCGAGGGACGGCTGTCGTACACTCAGTACCCCACCTCTCTCCCGTTTGTGCGAGGAGTGGACTACATACAGCACAGTACAGACAGTACATACATTTACAACCTCTTCAGCAGAAGAGAAGAGAATGGAACACAGCAGCATTCCCTGTTCCTTGTCATCGTGCACTGCTGTTTTACATACAATACGCATATATATGTAGAACGATCCATGGGTACCACACGGACAGCAGTACTACCAACTTCAGTTGTGGGCGGCATACAGCAGTACTGCTGTTCTGCTGTGGGCACGAGTCAAAGGACCTGGTCTGAACTCTGAACCGCCGCCGGAAGTTGTTCCGATCAAGCGCCCCATTGCTGCAGGTTCCAACACACGCACACACCAGACACCCGGATATGCATCTAGACAATATGTAGGCGGGAGGGCTTTGGAGACAGAGTCTGGATTGTAGCCCCGTAGCCCCCCATTACTCCCACAGTTAGACTAATTAATTCACGTATTCGGAATGAATGCTTTGTATGACCCGTCACGTTTATATGCAAACAAACAGGGACGTAACGCCTGCGGGCCGCATGTTTGCCGGTATCTTTGGTACTTCAGGTGCTACCCTCTTCACCTTCCCCACTGCTGTTGTGCTTCGCGGCCTCTCTTACCACACCCCTCCACACACTAAAAAATAAGGGCTAAAAAATATCACGCGTAATTCAGGGATTACGGTCGGGATCTAGGTGGCCAACGTCGTGAAGACCTCCTCCTCCAGTTGTTGACGAAGGAACCATCTATACAACCCGAACCCTACAACATCTATTGTCGGCGCGTGTACTTCTTTGTTATTATTATAATGTTGCGCTCACGGGTTCTAATGGAGAGCATTATTTCCGCGCGCAGGACTCACGAAGTTCCATTTTTTCGAGGAAGAGACAGAGAGAGGCGAGGGCAAGCGGAAAAGCGCGCGAAACAAGAACGTGACTTACCCCGGAGATTTGTATTCTGCCGCGGCCACACAAGCACCGAACCCATTTCCGCCATATCAAAACCTGAAACGGGCTGGAACCCGTTGATCTACTACGCATGCAATGCTACGTCGTACGGGGCAGCATAGTCTGGAGTAGTGTGGATATCCGATGTAGTGCAGGTTTATCGACTTGGCAAATGATTAGTAGTGCAGCGCACACGTGTTACTTATCTCTTTTTTTTGGTTTAGGGCAGGGCATATAACCGGTCGCCCCGGTGGTCTAATTGGTATCCACGAAACCTTCTAGACGTCAGGTCAGGGGTTCGAATCCCGGCGTAAGCGAGCTTTTCTTGCAAAGTGAGTTTTTCTCTCGCTTCCGCTCCTGTCTAGTGGATAGCGCTAGTTCGTGTGTACACAGAGGGAAGAGAGTGCTGAAATCTCCTCGCATTAAAAATCGAAGGCAACGTACCGCAGGAGGGGAGGGTAGAGAGAAGCTCTTCTGTGTGACCACGGGTTGGAGTAAACGGCACTAGTGCTGTGAGCGCTGATTTGAAGTGAAGATTAAAACATATATATACAAGTTTTTTTGCGGCTTACGCCGCCACGCCCAATGGAGCGAGTCCCAAGGTACACGGGGACGGTACGTGTGGGGATCGTGGAAGGTTAAATGGAAGTTATGTGTCGTTGAGGATGCCCGTTTGACGTGCATTTCTGTCTGTCGTGTGACAACATGATAGATGATCGCTTCAGTCTTGCCTCCCATGATCATGTTATTGCCCATAAGATCTTGAGTGTAAGATGAAGAGCTTCGACAGAAAAACGATGGCTCACTGGGATTTCGTCCCAAACAATAAGGTCACACTTCCGTAATACTTCTGCTCGTTGCGATTCAGCGGGTATATTGCACGTCGCACCGCTGACATCGTTTTCATCCAGTGGTAGTTTGAACATGGAGTGCGCAGTCCACCCCCCAGGTAGTTGGAGACCTGCGATACCCGTACTCGCAACACGGAGCACTAATTTACGAAGTGATCGTCGGTGGGCGCATAGTACGCTCTCCGTGTATGTCTTTACCGTTTCAGCAGGCGCGTCTATCATGAATATATACGTTAGACGAACCTGGTGACACGCTGGTAACGACGCTATCGTAAACATGACGTTGCTCGGCGGTGAAGTTTGGGAGATGCTCGGCAACAAACATGCGCATTATCTCCGGATCAAACATGTGCTTGAAACGCAAGTACTCCGTGTCTAGATGGATTATGGCAGGCAGTCCAACGATTACGTTGGTGCGTCCATGGTGCTGTAACCCGAGATCGATTTCGCGAAGGGCTGCGTTATCGGCATCGAGATCGGTCATGGACATGCGCAAATCTGCCGTGATTTCCTTGTTGAAATGCTCCCATAGAAGTTTTGCAGGTGCGCCGTCAAGAATATTATGAGCGTAACAAATAGCTGGCGCAACCGTCTACCCGTCTTGAAAATAATGGCCTCCTCTAGGCATACTTTGTGTTTGATTATATACCCATGGCTCTAGCGGCGTCCTGAAAGGTGTCATACACAACGTCTTCGTGAGTTCGTAATTGCTGAAATGATCTTGCGGGCTTGTGGTGTAGAAGTAAGCGCAGGTAAAAAACGTCACCTTTATCAGAGGGGACATGGCCGACACACGTGCGACATGCTTTTCAGATGAACGTGGCGTAACAAAATTGCGGTATGTATCTCTACAGTATACGCATTTTGTGCGCGCTTTCTCCTTCTTGACTATGTACATTTCGTTGTAGTCGAGATACGTAAGCATGTTGAATTCCGCTTGGTGCTGGGCGGAGTAGACGCAAAAATGTTGTACGACGCCATACTCGAGTGCGCGAGAGAATGGTGTGGGATGGAGTGGGAGCTTGCGCGGACGGCGCGAGGGCGCGCGTGAGCGGGAGCGAAAACCCTAAGAAGATCTACCGAAGCTCACCGCCCGTTGACCGAACGCCGATGGATTCCGGAAAAAGATTCCGGAAAAAGATATTCACATGAGAAAAGATAAAGATATGTTATTCATATGAGAAAAGAGCCGCACACACGTGCAAAATAACACGTGTAAAAATTATAGGTATTATTGTGTGTGTGACAGAGGGAGATAGAGAGAGACAGAAAAAGAGAGACAGGAAACAAATGAGAGAGGGAGAGGGCAGAGAAAGACACACAGACAGGCACAGAGACGGAGAGAGAATCACAGATACAGACAGAGAGAGAAACGGGGAAAATATATATATATACCTGGTACCAAAATAATAAAGTTGTACCGCCCATTCGGACTCTGGTTCCGATTCTAATTCCGAGAGAGGACAGAGAGAAAAAGCGCCGAAGAGAGAGAGAGAGAGAGAGAGAGAGCGTCTCTCACGACTCGACGGACGGCAAGACAGCGAGACCGGTAGAGAAAAAGAAGGCAGAGACGAAAGACGACACTCTGGCACGCAGACAAACTCGCCTCGCAAAAGGCAATCGACACACCTACACCCAGGACAGTCCTATATGGCGACACGCAGCCTATAGTCTCGACCACCAATAAGCGACAACGACCGCACCCAATGATACGCGTACGACTAAGGAAGGGACGAACTCCCACGCGTCCGACGCAACAAAGGTCATTCACACAGCAGGCGTGTACCTACGGTAGCACGCAGGCACATGCACTTCGTTCATGGTGCCGATTACGCGAAGGCGACACGCTTAGGTCCAAAGGAACGATAAACGCCCACGCGTCCTAAGCAACAAAGGACAGCAGGCGTGTAACAACGCACGCTAGTGCGCAATTTGCAACTCCGACAAAACGATGGCTAGCGCGTAGCTCACGCGCAGAGGAAGCTGCAATCGTGAGAAAGCAATACCATTGCTGCCGACTTTAGTCTTGAAGCGAATGCGTGGGATGAGAACGAGCGTTGAGAGACCGTCTAGTAGTTCTACATGCACAATTCGTGTTTGAGAATCCACGAACGATAGCCTTCTGACCATTGACCAAGCCCTGCTTGAAGTTTATAGGTTTCGTGTGATCATGACAATGCAGTTCAGTTTCAAATCCAATGCATGAGGCGGTACACCAGAGACGTCAGTAGCGTGGAGGTCAGCTGCGGCAACGAAACCCAAACCGTCGTCAGTCGCGTCAGCATCGACGGTGTCACAACTGTATGCTGTGAGAAGGTCTCCTGGAAGGATGTCAAGGACGTGTGCGTTAATGGTGTCTATGGTAGCGTTGGTTGACGAAAGGATGGCTCTAGCCTTGAACTCAGTCGGGTCGGCGTCGAGAATGTCCGGATGCACGAAATTGATCAATTCTTCAAAATAGTCTGTGTTGCCAAGGACGAATCGTTCAGAGGCTATGTTTGGCATGCTATGAACGTATGTCAATGGCACGGCATCGACGCCGTCGTCTGTTGTAACATGCGGTTGGGTACCAACACCGATATTTCGGACGAACGCCGCGTACGCTGCGTCCTCTCGATCGCGCTGCGATGGTAAGACGCATACGACGTACATGTTTCCAAAGCGGACTAGAAATGATGGACGCATCAATTGTTTCCGCGGGCCCGCCATGTTTGACGACAGGCCCTATCTGGCGTAGATCCCCGCTTAGCGAGATATTCTTTCTTCCCATGATAATGTTATTGCCCATAAGATCTTTGAGTGTAAGATGAAGAGCTTCGACAGAAAAACGATGGCTCATTGGGATTTCGTCCCAAACAATAAATTTCGTCCCAAACAATAAGGTCACACTTCCGTAATACTTCTGCTCGTTGCGACTCAGCGGAGATACTGCACGTTGCACCGCTGACATTCTTTTCATCCAGAGGTAGTTTGAACATGGAGTGCGCAATCCACCCACCAGGTAGTTGGAGACCTGCGATGCCCGTACTGGCAACACAAAGGGCTAATTTACTGAGTGATCGTAGGTGGGCGCATAGTACGCTCTCCGTGTATGTCTTACCCGTCCCAGCAGGCGCGTCTATCATAAATACGTTAGACGATCCTGATGACACGCTGTTTACCACGCTATCGTAAACATGACGTTGCTCGACGGTGAAGTTTGGGAGATGCTCGGCAACAAACATGCGCATTTGCTCCGGATTGAACATGTGCTTGAAACGCAAGTATTGGGTGTCTCGATGGATTACGGCAGGCAGTCCAACGATAACGTTCGTTCGTCCATGGTGCTGTAACCCGAGATCGATTTCGCAAAGGGCGGCGTTATCAGCATCCAGATCGGTCATGGACATGCGCCAATCTGATGTAAAGTCCTTATTGAAATGCTCCCAAAGAAGGTTGGCAGGGGCTCCGTCAAGAATGAGCGTAAAAAACAGCTGGCGCAACTGTCTACCCAGCAAGCGCCACGCAGATTCAGCAGCTGAAATGTATCGCGCTGAACGGCAGGCCTCTATTTCATCGCCGTCGCACAGGATCTTAGCCTTGATAAAGTCTGCGCCCTTGTTAATGTATTTGTAAATGTATTGAACTACTGCCGCTGCTGTACAGACGTCAAAACACATGTGGCAGTTGTTTTGGAAAGCAGCCAAATGTTGTACGGAGCGATCCACTGGTTTGTGGCGAAAGACTCTAGGAAATTGCCATTACCTTTGTGCGCGAAAACCCTAAGAAGATCCGGACACCACCTAACGAACCTCATGCACCGCTCGTTGACCGAACCCCGATGGATTCCGAAAAAAGATATCATGCGACACACGTGTAAATAGGTATTATAGGTATTATTGGGTGTGACAGAGAGAGATAGAGAGAGACAGAAAAAGAAAGAGATACAAAACAAAGGAGAGAGTGAGAAGGCAGGGAAAGACACACAGACAAAGAGAGAAACGGAAAAAAAATAGAAAAAAGTTGTACCTCCCATTCCGACTCTGCTTCCGATTCTGCTTCCGACTCTGATTCCGAGAGAGGAGAGAGCGAAAAAGCGCCGAAGAGAGAGAGAGAGTGAGAGACTGAGAGTGTCCCTCACGACGGGAAGGACGGCGAGACAGCGAGGCCGGAAGAGAAAAAAGAAGGCAGAGACCAATGGAATGGTATTGGAGAAGACCGTAGAGCTCATCGGACCGAAGGAACTGCCCTCCGAGCGACAAAATTGCGAAAACTGCAAAATGCGAAATGCTGGCCTGTGAGTGCTCGAACGGTCGGTACTTCACTCTGAAAGCAAGTGATTAAGCGTGGTGGCCTGAGAGCGCTCGAGAGAACGATCCCTGGCCCACAGAAAATGCTGCGATTCTAGGAAAAAGATAAACGAAATAAAGATTCCGGAAAAAGATATTCATATGAGGAAAGATGAAGATATGTTATTCATATATATGAGAAAAGAGCCGCACACACGTGCAAAATATGTGTGACACACGTGTAAAAATTATAGGTATTATTGTGTGTGTGACAGAGGGAGATAGCGAGAGACAGAAAAAGAGAGACAGGAAACAAATGAGAGAGGGAGAAGGCAGAGAAAGACACACAGACAGACACAGAGACGGAGAGAGAATCACAGATACAGACAGAGAGAGAAACGGGGAAAAAATAAATATACCTGGTACCAAAATAATATAGTTGTACCGCCCATTCGGACTCTGGTTCCGATTCTAATTCCGAGAGAGGAGAGAGAGAAAAAGCGCCGAAGAGAGAGAGAGAGAAAGAGCGTCTCTCACGACTCGACGGACGGCGAGACAGCGAGACCGGTAGAGAAAAAGAAGGCAGAGACGAACGGAATGGCATTGGAGAGGACGACAGAGCACATCGGACCGAAGGAACTGCGCTCCGAGCGTCAAAATTGCGAAAACTGCAAAATGCGAAATGCTGGCCTGTCAGCGCTCGAACGGTCCGGACTGCACTCTGAAACCAAGTGAATAAGCGTGGTGGCCTGAGAGCGCTCGAGAGAGCGTTTCCCGGCCGGGAGAAAATGCTGCGATTCTAGGAAAAAGATAAATGAAATAACTGTTATATATATGCGCAATGAGTGGGTCGTTGTCCTGCATCGACCCCCATTTGTTTCTTTCCAATCGCCATCCCATTTTTACGAGCCGTCGTTTGGATGTTCAAATACTTACACTACGGCCATCGATCGATGCCGTTCAAACAAACGAGCTTGGTCACACGCACAAGAAGAGTTCCTTTGCGATGTATGCCTTGGTTACTTCTTCCCTCTGAAGAAATGTTCAGCTGTCCTTCCCTGACGGGGGGTCCACCACTAACACGCAAGCGCCCCCTCCCATGAACTTATTTCTTCCCTAGCCTCGACGATGCTTCTTTTTTCGCTCGCTAGTTTTTGTGGAGGCTGGGGTTCTTACTGCTTCCTAGGGTTGTGCTTCCAAAAGGCCGCAATTTAGGGTAACGTAGGGGTTCTTACCCGAGCTCACGAATGGTCCTCAAGATTTTAGAGTTTGAGTTGTTGTTTCGAGGCTCTTAACTACTTACTACCAAGTCTTTACAAAGTGCGGGCGCTAACTATCTGCCGCCGCCGCCGCCGCTGCCGCCGCCGCCGCTGTCGCTGCTGCTGTGGGACGCGCGAAAAAAATACAGGCGTTCAGGAACAACAACGACACCGACGGCGGCGGCGACGTCGACGGGGCTGCGGACCTCTGGCGGGGGGGCGGTCTCATCCTGGCCGACAACGTGGACCTCCTACGGAGCATCGTCCGCTTCGTGGCCGAGAAGCAGTTCCTCTTCTTCGCGCCGGTCTCCAGGGCCTGGAGGGAGGCCTGGGGCCGCCGCCCGGCGGTGACGAGCTGGGTCACCGAAGACTCGTCCGTGTCCCAGCTGAGGTACAGCTTCGAGCGGGGGCTCCCGCGGGACCGGCCGGAGCTGTGCGCCGCCATCGCGCGGCTCGGCAACCTCGAGCTCCTGCGGTCGGCGAGGGGCAGCGGGTGCGTCTGGAACGGGCTGACGTTCTCGGAGGCGGCGCGGCGGGGGGACCTGGCGTTCCTCCAGTGGCTCAAGTCCAGCGGGTGCAGGTGGGACAAGTTCTCGGCCATCGCCGCGGCCGGGGGGGGGCACCTCCACGTGCTAAAGTGGCTGAGGAAGAGTGGCGTCGGGTGGGACGACGACGAGTGGACCTGCCACATGGCGGCGGCGGGGGGCCACGTGCACGTCCTGCGGTGGGCCATACAGAACGGGTGCCGGTACGACAACGTCACCTGCTGGTCGGCCGCGCACCAGGGCCACCTCGAGGCCCTCAAGTACCTGAGAAAAATCGGCTGCGGCTGGGACAGGCAGCGGTGCTTCGACGCCGCGGTCCGCGGGGGCCACCGGCGCGTGGCGGAGTGGATCGTGGCGAACTGATCGGCGGCGGCAATAGTGCATGGTGGGCTCTTAAATGGATCACCGCAAACTGATCAGCCGCATTGAATGGTGGCTGTTAAGTGGATCGTCGTGGACTGATCTGCGGCGGCAATTATTGAATGGCGGCTCGTAAGATCATCGCCAACTGTTGAAGTAGTTTAAGCAGTGAGCGGGAGAAACCATTTCGTCTGTTCGTGCAACTTGGTGGGTCGTGGGAAACGGGGCGGTCCAATAACGCATTCCCGTGGAAACCCTGAGCGTCTCCTGGTAACTATTACGAAGCGGGATGAGGCAAGTGCCGGCCAGAGTTCCCAGGGAGGGGGGGGAGGGGGGAAGCAGTCACCTTCTTGGCATTCAAATACTTTTTGAGGAAATTGCTGACACCACCGTGATCGTGAGACGGGGCGGATGTCGCTAACGACAGCGAAGGAGGTGGAGGGTCGTTGCGGGAGTGGTAGGGTTGGCCGCATGGAGGGGCGACAGAGGAAATCCGCAAATGGTATTACTTGTACGTCAGGGTTGCCCACTGTTGGTGGTATAAACCGCTCGTGAGCACGAAGACTCCTTCATGTAAGGGACACTGTTAGTTTTTGTTTTTGTGGGCTCCACGACACTCATCAACTCAAGCGACAAATCGCTTTTTTTATGTACGCCATACCAAACTTTTTCGGGTGAAATTGAAAATTCGCGCGATCGCAGGTCACAAACGGATCGAGCACCAGGTGTTGTGATTCATGGAAGTAGCTGCGACATGTTGACTTTCCCGCAAGGGAAAGGATGGCACTGTTATGAGCGTTGGAACAGCCCGGCGTTCGGCATGCGCGTACAAATGTGAGACGGACGAGGGCTGCGCCTGCTTGAGACGGAATCGCCTTGCTTTGCGTGCTTGTTCCGGAGATGGCCCTAAATCCTCGTGTTTTGTACTCCTCCGTAGTATTTGCTGCCTCAAGTCAACAGTGATCAACCGGTGGCGAGAGACGGGGTTCTCCGAAATTGAGCTTGGAGACACACATTGCCTTGCGAGAGTGATGCAACGGGCGTTCAGAGCGTTTGGCTACACTCTACGCGTGTGGTCTCACAACGACTCGCTCATCCTGGATCATTCCGTCTTGCGACTCCGTTCTCACGAACTACAGTATCGCAACGCCGTTGGTTCCCCCCCGGCGAGGGTTCAATTGCTGGAAGCGACGTGTTTTCATTGGCCGGTCGTTCTTCCCAAAGGGCGAGGGGAAATTACGATTGCCGGACCCTTGTCCCGACAGCGTTGAAGACGATCATCGCAGCGGCGTGCCCTCTGTGTGTACCCGGGTCATCGCTTCTCCGAAATGACGTCTAACCCGTAAGTTAAGCGGAAGCTGCGAGCGACGGTATCGGAACTGATGGGGGCTATGAAAGTGGACACCGAGGTGAGCCTGCAAGGCTTGGACCGACCTCTCCTTATTTACATAGATGGCGCCGCAAAACAAGGAGAGGTCGCAAAACACCTTGAGCACTACACAAATTCGAGCTTGAACCCCACCCAACTTAAAAGCCTGTCTCTACAAGAACCCCCTGTTGGCTTTGCCACACAGAGGGAGGGAGATTGAATGCAATCCTCTGGCAAACAAGGAACACCCGGTAAGCTCTGCAGTTGGCAGCCCATGTGTACGTTGCCCCTCTCGTCATATTGACCATCTAAGTACCTCCACTGGTGTTACGGAAGAACCGGCCCGCGCTTAAGAATTTGGTGCAACAGTCAAGAAGTTTAGTCTCAAAATGTCCAACATTAAAGAACTTGACCATAAGAACGGGTGCTCAGTCAAGAAGGCTACACTAAAACCTATATAATCGCTGTGGGGGTAGTCTAACCCATAGACAAAGTAAGAGAACTAGCCTCACGCAAAATAAGCGGTTCTCAGGTGCGGCCCGGGTCTGTAGACACATACACGCTCGCCTCACCCCACGACACGACAGCCCGGTGGTCGTCACCGCACGGCCACAAGAACATACAACTCTCATCGCCGCATGCACCGACCCCGTCACGGTACGCCTACTCCTGCCTCAGAGCAAAAACGTCGTATTTTCAAGTCTGATGCACACGACGCGCAAATATGTACAAAGCCCAAACCAGACGCCAGAGAACCTTACGCCCCTACAGCATTCATCTATGTATACAACAACGCGTTCCATCTACGCGAGGTCCTGCCCCTGTCGCCATATTCCAGGCTGCGGTTTATGAGAGGGTTGGAACAAGCCAACAACACTCCCTCTAAAATCCGTCTTTCTCTTAAATCGTACCGTGAAATATACCGGTACGTTTGCTTCATGGCCGGGACAAGCAGCCGAACACTATCTAAAATACGGTTTTCTCTCTCATAAACCTCGGCCGCGAGATATATGTCATAGCATCCACATTCGCCTTCCGCTCGCCCGTCGCCTGTCCCGAGAAACCTTGAACAGGGTGAACGCCTTGGGAAACGTTGGAATCAAGCAAGGCGGGTCGTGTCTACATTGGCTTTCATGCACCACGGAAAACGCCACCCAATTAGCCTAAAGAGCTCGCTCCGCCACATTTCTGACTAGACGTGCGGTTATCTCGGCACAGATACCGTAACAGGTGGAGAGATGGCACCCACCCTAGACCGATATTCAAAGCTCGACTGCTCCGCAACTAAGATTGTACCATCAACAACAACGACGGTTTTGGAAACATCTCGTTTAGGGGTTTCGGCGCCCCTTTGGTTGTGGAGCCATGGATGCTTGAAAGCTGGTCTAGGGGGGGTGCCATCTCACCGCCTCTTACAGTGTGTAGTATGACTGTTGTAGTGTCAACTCCGGTGGAAAAAGCGCCTCGCCGCCGGGTGCGAAATTACGTACAAGTCTTTGACACTCTTAGCCCTATTAACAATACTCCGTTTTGTTTCTTCTGCAAACTTAGCCCTGATTACAGTGTCAGGGCGGGCGCTGCTGTACAACGGCTAACCCTGAGCAATCATTGAAGGCCCGACGAGATAGTTTCAACGCCGTCATTCTCGGCACCGCCACTCTCCTCTGCTGCTGTGGAGTAATCAAGTTTCGAACATGGGTCCAAGGGGTTGTGATATCTTGCTTCACCTAGGGTGCCCATCCCCCTCGCCGAGATCTTCGCGGCGGTGTCTCAAACAGTTAATAAACTGATCAGCCTGACCCGCCACAGACTATACACTCACTAGCCGATGTTGGGAAAAACAAGCGGCGTTGGAACGGAAGTTGGAACCATAGTAAGGGTGCAAGAGATGGCACCCCCCCTGGAAAGATTGTCAAGCTCGACTTCTCCCCAACCAAGGTTTGTGCCAACACAAAAAAATACGGATCTGGAACGAACACCTCCCCGAGGGCCTTCCGTTGACGTACTGTATCGTGCTCGTTCGGCACCCACGTGTTTGTTTGTGGAGCAATCGAACTTTGAAGCCTCGGTCTCGGAGGGATGTCATATCTTGCATCCTTACGGTACACTTACAACTAACGGATACCGGGAAAGGTGGGCACCGTTGGCTTAGTAATAGAGCTATTCCCGAGCGGAAGCTACCCTGCTGCGGGCCCCGCAGGTAATAAATATTTGTGTTTAGAAAAAGAGGCGCACATTTTGAAACGGAAGAAAAATGGGTTAAGAAACACACCCGAGGGGCGCATCATTAACACCAAAGTCTATATTACAACGTGTGCTCGACAGAGTACCGTAAGGATACGAAAGAACGCACGGGGGTGCGATCGATTTTCAAAGCGCAATTTCTCTACAACCAGGAGGGTGCGAACGCCAACTGATACCTCTCAGGAAAGCTCTCAATGAGATTTTCCAAAAAAACACTTTTCGACTGTGGTGCCCTCCTGGTCGCGGAGAAATTGCGCTTTGAAAATCGATCGCACCCCCGTGCGTTCTCTCCCATCCTGACGGTAGTGGCGACGAACAAGTAAGTTGAGACGGTGGAGACGAAATCAGAAATTGAGCCTCCACCCGATTTTGACGTGCGTGCCTTATCTCCGGGGCCCTTTCCGTACAGTTCCGGCCAACCACCCACCACCCACCATGAGGAAGACGAAGTACACGACAAGAATCGGTGTGTACACGGGGATGTCGAACAGGCCGAAATACGTCATGCCGAGCGCTACCAGCAGCCATTTCTGCGACGATATCCAGCACGGGAACTCCCTTAGGCGCCCACTGATTCGGGGAGGTAAGAGCCTGCTGCCGTGGGGTGGACAAAGGTGCCCTCCGTGAGCATCACGACTGGTATCATTGTGCTGTCGGCACATGATCTCTCCCGCAACCGTGACGGTTTCGTGTCGGCTGGGCGTACACACACGCGGGGCGACCTGGTACCTGCGTTCTGTAGCCGTTCGTAGGCTGTGTTGCCACTCGCCCTCTCGTTCTGTCCCTCTCTCCTGCCTCTGCGAGGCTGCCGAAAAATAAATACTAGAGAATCTCACCTACTACTCATCAGGAGGTGGGACAGCAGTCGAGGCTAACCGGACGGGAGCTACATCTGCAGCATGGCAACGGGCATCCAAAGCAACGGAACGAAGGGCACCACCACCACCACCACGGTGCGCCGCAAGAATGCGAGAGAAGGCGTCCCCCTGTACACCGATCTTCAAAACAGCTCGATTGCTCCACAACCAAGCTTGTGATAGCACCGAAAACTGTCATTTTTTAAACATCTCGTGCAGGTCTTTCAGTACACGTGCATGTATCGGGCTCTTGCCGTACCTACTCTTTTCGTGGGGCAATCGAGCTTTGAATGTCGGTCTAGGGGGGTGCCAGCTCTCGCATCATTACTGTAATCCGGAACGTATTGCTGTATTCCGGAACAAACACGCCGCATAGGCGTGCAGGCTGCGGGTGGGAAAGGCAGCGACCGCGAGTAGTTCGATGCAAGCCGACAGGCCACGATTATGCTCCATCAACAGCAGTATGGCTTGTACGGTGGTAGACATCAAGGCGCTCGTTGGAGCTACGTCGCAGCACGCAGCACAAAATGGGG